AAGAGGAGTAGAAGTTTACAGTTCAACAGTTTCTGCCCTAAATCTAAAATGTTCAGATCTTTAATACACTGTTAGACAGAAAATACTTCTAATTATTGTATTAAAATCCCAAGACTAGTTTTAAAAACAGCCTTCTAAGTGGGGGAATCCTTTTTACCCACACCTTTTGGCTTAGAAATAAGTGCTGCCTATTCTATGTTGCCCTTTAATGTAAATTCTATCAAATAGATTATCGGCTCATTGATAATGCCAATAGTCCTCATCCATTTGTGGATTAGGTTGTGAATTGTCAAGGTGGAAACAGCAAACTGGGCTTTAAAGTTTTTATTCTGGCTAAGCTTTCCATATTTATGTCACTCTCACCCCCCCCCCAACCAAATCTTTGATTAGGTTCTAAATTCTTAATTTGCATTTCTTTGAATAAATATGCAGCTGCAAAACACTTTTTTCTCTTTTTTTGGTACTAGGGATTGAATTTAGGGCACTCAACCATTGAGCCACATCCTTAGCCCCGTTTTGTATTTTATTTAGAGACAGGGTCTCTCTGAATTGCTTAGCACCTCGCCTTTGCTGAGGCTGGCTTTGAACTCACGATCCTGTCAAGCTGCTGGGATTGCAAAGCAGTTTTGTTTAGCACTTGGTCTCACAAATGTTTATAGGGATTGACGTTCATAATCTCACTAGTGTTTAGTCCATGCTATTTTAGAGAATTGATAGGATCATCACTAATAAATAACTAATAAGATTGTAGTGGCACTTGCAAAGAATCTCAGCAATAATTTTTTAAAGGAAACATTTCCTTTACATTACTATATGACATAATTAGGAATTTTCATATGTGGATTTGTATGAAGTAAGGCACATTTGTGTAGGATATACTACAGGTGTTCCTCTTTAACATTAACAAAGGAGAAAATATATATCTCAGTAGCTGATTCCTGACTGCTACTGTTGGAGACAAAAACCTCCAATTTGCTCCAGATGAAAATCTGGCAGCTTCACTGGAGTTACTATCTATTATTAAATCATCTTTAAGTCAGTCTTCCCCAGAGTACAAGATGAGGCATTCCGGACAGCTCTGATCAAATCTTTATTCAAACCAAAGTGGTCCCAGGTAAACAGGGAAGAGAAACAGCTTATGTTTATTAAATAAAAGTTAACTTTTGCAGAATATTTTCTAATTTATTAAATGTTTCTTTTTGCCTTATTTCATTTAATCTTCCAATAAAACTTTGAGACAGGGATTCTATGCTATCCTCTTTGTTTCATAGGTTAGGAGGACCTCAAATCTCACAAAGATCAAATGAATTCCCAGTAATCTCAAGCAGTGCCCAAGTCAGAGCTGGAGCCTGACTTCATCATGACTTCAGTGCTTCTTCACGCAAAGCTTGCCAAAAAGAGGGAAGCAACACTCCTACGAAGGAGAATATTAAAATGCATCTTTTATACTCAAATAGTCCATTTCTTTTTCAGCTATCTTAACCAGATTCAACATTTTTTTGGAGGGATTACTACCTGATAGATTAATTTTACCGTTCCTGAAGAGGGTAAAATCCTGTTTCCCAGTGAAGACCACTTTGCCACATGATAGTTCAACTAAATGTATCTTTAAAACATTAGTCAGATTGCCAGGCACGGAGGCACATGCCTGTAGTCTCAGCTAACTGGGAGTCTGAGGTGGGAAGGGTGACAAGTTCGAGGCTAGCCTGGACAATCTCCAAAACAAAACAATAAATAAAATATTAAACGGCATGCCATCTTAACCTAGATTCTCCCAGGAATTTAGTTATTCCCATATTCTTATGAAGAAATATAACCCTTTGAATCTGTCTCCCTGCTTTCTTCCCTCAGCAGATTCCTTATCAGTTTCAATAATTCACTGCCTAGCCCATATTGGATGAGTTTCTACAATATTGGCAGGCCATGTGCTAGACCTGTGGAGGGTTTATATGTCCCATGAGTCCTTTAATTTAACAGCTTCACTAACTGCATAGCAATGGCTTTCCATGTGCCTGGATGAATGTCTGCCATTAGCCCACATCTGACCATGGTATTGGTATACTGTGTGTGACCATGGATCGTTACACATGCAGGGACTGCGGAGGGGTATGTGATTTTATTGCTTTTCCCAAGTGATTTCTAACTATACTCAATTTATTTTATTGTTCTCTGTATCTTTAAAAATTCTTTTCTTCCCCAAAATGTAAAAAGGGAAAGGAAGAACCAAAGGAGAATGAATTCTATAAACACAAAAAAATTTTCTCCAAAGAAGTAAAAACACGTTGGTGTGCTGAATTATTTTGAGTATGGATTCCCTTCCTTTCCTTAGTTCCCTTTTCCGTGTTGCCTTAGTTTTTGTATTTAATTGCTACATTGTTTCAAACATTTCACTTTTTACTATACTACTCACTGGCTATGATCCTAACTTAAAATTGATTTAAAATCAAGTAATGGGGCGGGGTAGCTCACCTAGTATGTATTGAGACCATGGGTTCAATCCCCAACACTACAAGAAAATTAAAAACAGTACTTAGAAATCCAGACAAAGGAAAAAGCATACTAACATCCACAAGCACATTCTTCTCTCACTTTCTTCATCCTATTGCCCTGGTCTGTAAATTATACTGTAAAGTAACCAGTTAATTATTTCCTGTTTTATTTCACTCTGTTGAGAAAAGCTTTGTTGGCAGAATTAAAAATGGAATCTAGTTTTATTGTGTGTGTGTTTGAGGAATGCACACAGCATATAATGTTCATGTGGTCTGTATTTCCCTTTTTAATTTTTTTCTAGCTGATATAAACAGAAATGTAATAAATGAGCTTTTAAAATTGAGATGAGCAGATTCCCCCAGAATAAAAGCAAGAGGTGAGAGCTGCCCCACCCCAAATACAAACCATCATCTAATAACTAACTAAAAACATCTTCTATGTTTTAAGGAGAAAACAGAGTTTTAAAAAGCAATGAAATTGGACAGCAAGCCACTCACAACCAGTGCTCTAGAAGCAGGAAGACTCAGGGTGAGGAGGGGAGATTTCAAAGACTAGAGTTGCATGATTCTGATATCCATTTTTCAAGTTTAATACTTGTGTAATGATAAAACAAAGTGATTAAGATGCTTGTCCACTTCAGATATAAAGGAGAAAAAAATTTACCTTAAAAATTACTCAGATACTTTAATTGGATTTGAAGAATATTTGGAGGAAAAATGATTGCCTTATAACTCTTTTGCCAAGAATTATTTCACATTTAATATTATTGATTTTAATAACTAATGTTTACATACCACTTGAAAATATTAGTCCAATATATATGATACCCCTTAAGTATTACAACACTCCAGTGTGAGCAGTGTGTCCACTTAGTAGATGTGGAAGCCAAGGGCTCACAGAGCCTAAGCAGGAGTCACTAGCAAATGATGGACTATGTTTTTTTAAAGGAAGAATTCACACTACTCTTTTTTTTTTAAAAAAAATATTTTTTAGTTATACATGGGCACAATATCTTTATTTTGTCTATTTATTTTTATGTGGTGCTGAGGATTGAACCCAGGGTCTCACACGTGAGAGGCGAGCGCTCTACCACTGAGCCACAACCCCAGCCCCAGATGGACTATTTGGAACCGTCTTCCTCCAGCTCCAAATCCCATGTTCTTTATTATTAGCAAAATATACAAATAGAGATTTACTCAAACCAAATTTAAGAAATGGAAGTCTTTAGCTGCTTGGGTTTGTCAACCTATGTAGAATATACATGACATGTTTTATTTTCTTGATAACTTTACAAAACTGAATAATTGTATGGCCTCAAATTATTATTTTAGTGTACTTAAAAATTCCTGGTAATTTTTACTTTGTTCCTGATTATAGAAATAAAAATTATTTTGCTTAAAAAAGCACTAAAATTCATTTTTTGAACCTATGCTCAGGCAATACTTTACATATTAAGTGCTTAGAAAATGTTCGATGTTTTTCTTTTTTTTCAAAATTGATCTTCATGAAAGCCCCCTTTTGTTTTCTCACCCACAAATTGTTTTTTACTCTGTGTTTTGGCCTTGACTTTTCTAAAATGCACCATTTTCACCCACAACTTAAGACAGCTCTGATATTCTTAGTACAACATACTGTATGTAATGGTAGCTGTTTAAAAACTGGAGATCAGATTGTGCATAATAATATGTGTAGTTTGGATTATATAAACACTACAGGAAGAAGGAGAGACAGGGCCCTTCTATGTACAAATTTCAGATTGCTAGCTGCATGACTGTTTGGAATGTTAAGCACTCTTAACTAGGCAGTGATGAACTTACTTCTTTAATGATTGTGACTTCTGAAACTTTTTCAACTAAAAATAAAGATGCCAGAAATAAACGAATTTATACTATGTAATCTTCTACTTGCTATTTAGGAAGACCTGAGAGGAAATTTTTCATTGCCTTCAAAGTTCAATTTAAACTAAGTAATTTTATTAAAATTGGGAAATATAGCTGAGAAGAGCCAAACACAGAACAAAAAATTATAAATTTCATTCATCATTCGTTTCACCCAGTATGAATGGGTCTGAAGCAAGAAACTGTAACAGTCTATTTCCTTAGGGCTGTCTCTCTTTCATATTTCAGAGTAGACTGTTTTTGTCTTTTGTTTGTCTTTTGTCTTTTATCATGTGGTTGGTTTTGTCTTTTATCATGTGGTTTTGTCTTTTGTCTTTTATCATGTGGTTGCTGTCTGACTTTCCAGTCTGCTGGAAGATTGGAAAAGTTTTTACACATTTCATTTCAAGAGAAGTTAGTTAAGTAAAATATTACCATATTTTTTTCACTCCTTTTGGAGTGGAGAATGAAGTCAATAGCTTTCCTGGTTTACTTGGTTTGAATTTTGTTTTAAATATTTGTATCTTGCTTTGTTTCAGTAAGACCTCAAGGCTGCCGATACATTTACTGCTCAAATATCAACATAGTCATAACCAAGTCTTTGGAACTACGGATAAAAAAAAATCCAACACATTTCAGCCATCTTTTATTTATTGTAGAGAGGTTGTGTGGCCTTTTGCTTCCTGTCCCTTTCCATAAGAACTTTATATATGGACACCACTCCTGCTGGTATCTTTATATTGGGAAGCTCTGCGTGAGGTTGAAGTTTTTATGGGGGGAAACTTGTTTAAAACACAGTTGTCTTTAAAGGCGGGTTTGCAGCAGCAAGGGTAGGGGTTGCCAATAAATCCATTTATAGCAACTTCTGTATTCTCTGCTCCAGGCACACCAATGGGAGACCAGCGTGTCATTCTCTCCAGCCACACAATGCAGCAGCGATTCTAGTTGACTCTTCTGTAAGAAAGGCTAACCCAAAGGGCTTTGGGGATAGAGTGGACTGGGTCCTCCGAGCTGAATTGGTTGGTAGGATCCGGAGAACACAGGACTCCGGAATCCCTAGGCCATATTTTGACTTTTGCTCTGCTGGGAATAACAAAATATTTTGGGAGTTTAATTTACTGCCACCATCCGACACAATAATAGCATCATTGTCTGTTCTCCCCTTCCATGACTCCCTCCTCCCGCCGACTTCACGAAGTTGGCCCTTGGTGGACCTAGTGTGGACAGCAAGGCAGCCAGGGGAGGTAGAAGGAGTGCTGCAGACTCCGCTCCAGGGTCTCCCGGGTCTCTGGGGTAATAACTGATCCCCGAACGTCCCCAATTTGCTTTTGGGAAAGAAAAAGACCCAGCTGTCGAGTTGCATTTTTATACTTTCCATTTCTCTTAGCTCATTTTGTCCCCAGAAAATGAGTGTTTGTGTGTCTGTACAGTTAAGTGAGGGAGAGAAAAATCCAAGAAAGCCACACAGGCCAACCTAAGGCATTCACTGAAACTTCAGATCGGTTAATTGCTCCCATATGTCCTCCTCGCTGTTTTCAAAAGGCAGCAAAGAGGGAAGGCCGGGTCACTTTATTGATTTTTAAAAGGCTGCAAAAAAGACTATCATCCATCTCGTCCTGTCCTAGAAGGGCCCTGGCGCTTACCCAGGGGACCAGTCTCTTCCAGGGAAGCTAGGGGGCCGTCCGCAGGGACCAGGCCCCAAGAGGACCAGCCCCGAGGCGTAGCGCCCGCGCCCGGGCCCCACGGGAAGTTCGCGCGCCCTGCCCCAGCGGGTCCCGGGAGCGGCCGCAGTTCCAAGAAGGGAGGGGCGCGGGAGGCGCGGCCGGGGCGGGCGCGCGAGAGGAAGGTGCCTTCGGGAACACGCGCAAGGGCGGGGATTCGCGCTGCCAATGAGGCCCGGGTGTGGGCCGAGCGAGGCAGGGGGACGGGCTGGAGCACAGCCTTCACTGTGGCAGCTGCCGGAGCTGGAGGAGAGGCAGCCGCGAAGCGCCCAGCCGGCCGCGCCCGAAGGCCTGGCTCTGGGGGTGGGGATCCACGCCGAAGAGCTGGAAACTTTCCCGGCAGGTAACTCCCGTTGCCGGGCCTCCCTGTGTTCAGGGCAGGGCCAGCTGCCGGGGAAAGAGATTGGAGGAGAGGGTCTCCGAGAGGAGGAAAGGGTGATGAGAAAAGCGTAAAGGCGTGTGAGAAAGTTTCTGGAGCGCCCCCTCCTCTGGCGGGCACAGTCGGGAGCTTTCCGGGGATAGGCACAGACATGTTGGGCGCTCCTGGCCTTGGTCTCGGCGCCTCTGGGGAGTCGGCGCCTACCCTGCGCCGTTTCCTGCGCTCTGGACCGAGCGGGTCACCGTGGACCTGGGCTGGGTGCAACCGGGAGCACGCGGGACATGCTTGATTTTCGGGACCACCCCAGCCCCGCGCGCCTGCTAGTCACCTTTCCCGCCTCCTCCGTAGTCCAGAGCTTGGAAGGGGCCTGAGCTGCGTCTGGTACCTGGGGCGGGGAGGCGGGGGAGAGGCACGCCGGGCACCGCCGGGTGGGAATAGTCTGGGGGGCGTGGATCGGGAAGTTGCAGAGTGAACTTAAGCCTAAGACAATCATTTTGCCCCTCTTTGGGCCGAAAGTCTAGTCTTGGTTTCCGAGAACACCGCGGTCAACATATCCATGCTCTTTTCTTTAATGGGGGTGGGGAGGGTGTGAGTTACGATTAGACCTTAACGGTATTTATTTTATTGGGGAGAGCTGATAAACATGAAGATTGTACCAGTATTGTGAGCCCCCTTATTTTTTGAATGCAAGGTGGTTACTTTGTGGGTATTGAATCAGGACGCCGGGTCCTGGAGGACTTTGGGGTGCGGGGCGCAGCGCTAGGGGTGTGAGGGACTCCCGGCTTTGGCGCGGCGGCTTTCCGGAACGGCTGGCGGGGAAGGAAGCCCTAGGCATTGTGTGGCGTGTTTGTAGACAGAAAGGTCTCTGGACTGGCGTTTTCAAAACTTAAACTTATTGTGTAAGGCTCCGGGAGGAAATGCGGTGGTGGCCTGGTAGAAATGCGGCGCCGAGGTAGAGGGGCAGAGGACGCCGGGCTTGGCCACCGTCTTCTTCCAGCTGGGTCGACATACTCTTGGCAGCCTCAGATCCCGGTGTCTTCAGTGATGGGACTCGTCACAGCGCTATTTTCTTCTGTAGTCTACTGGGGGAGGTGAGGAGGGCACCTTCATCTTGAACTTGACCCTAGGAGTGGTATCGTCTGGGTGGGATACTAGGTAAAGGGAAGCTGAATCTTAGTGTGAGAAAGACCTCATGCTGCGTGTAGCAAGGAAGCTCATGGTTCAGAATCTTGGAGGAAAGGTCTCCGGACTGTTGAGGTCACTAACTCTAAAAATGCCAGACGCACCAGACTGCAGAAGTTAATATGTTTTGGAAGAGGTGGGGGTAGGAGAGGTAAGGAGAAACCTGGTTAGTTGGCACAGAAGATTGGTATTTCTCTGTAGTGGAATTGAAGGCAGTCTGCATCTCTGCTTTTGCCAGATCCGCTACTCTCCCCCCACCCCCTTCCTGGGTCGTCTTTATTCCTGCCAGGCTGGCACTCCTGTAGGGGGGAGGGGAAGGAGAAGAGAGCAGTTGTGAGGCTTCTCTGGTCAGCCTGGAGGTATTTCAGATCCGCTACTAGGAAGATTCCTGGATTTTAACAGCTGCTTCTTGATTGCTGGGAATGAAAGAATTTATGAGCGTCTGAGAGGTGTTCATTATGGTAGTACTCTGAATGTTTTACTCATCTAAACTAAGGATCTCACAAGGGACCTTTCAACAACAGTGCGTCAGTTCATGCAAAGTTTGTGTCAGCCAGAATACTTGGTGGGTGTCAGTCAAAAAGCATCATAAATATATCCCGGTAGTTTTGAAATGAAAAATATGCAGGAGGAAAGAAAGAATGGTATCTGACATCCTTCAGGACTTCCTCCTAGGGTTGTTCCTGTTACCTGCCAAGTGAATACATTCCAGGCTTCATTACTTTTTGTAATTTGAGAATAAGGGATGGGAAATAGTGTCATTGATTTTAATGGAGGCGGGAAAATCCAGAAATAAATTTAAGGTCACTTTTCATAGCTGTCTTGCAGTTGTGGTGCCACAAACTTAACTTTTGCTGGAGTTTGGAAGCATTGGTTTTCCTGCTTTCTTGGTTTAACCACCAGAATGTCTAAATTATCATAATTCATGTTCATCATGGAGCTAAACAACTGATTCATAGTCAGCCTTTTTCTGCTTCCCATAACAGCCAAAAGAACATTTTGTTTTTTTAACCACACACAATTTATTTGATGCCATAGTGGGTTTTTGATACTGGCTGATTGAGGGCACAATTTTAGAGACAATGGAATTGTCTTTATGAAATTTTCCATTTTTAGGCAACTTCTCTTTGAGTTGCTGATTAATTTTTTATCTTCCAGGAAACATTAAAACCAGTGTCCCTGGGCTAGTAGAGCTATAATCCATATTATAATGAGGGCTGCTAGAATGACTGGAGGTTAATGTTATGTCAGTGTTTCCATTAGACCTTTCTAACCCAAATGTAAAGATTTTGTTTCCGTAAAGTTGACAGTAGGATAGACAGTCTCATAACTAGAGAAATGGCTTTATTTTTGAGATGAAAAGTTTAACTTGGAAGTTACAGGAGTAAATTTACAGAAAGAAAAAAGGTGGCATGCATTCATACACACACACACACACACACACCCCACATACATATGGGGGGATTTATGAGAGTCCTTAGAATAGCTTTATTCTGAATTGTATAATTATTATTATTATTATTATTATTATTATTATTATTATTATTATTTCATACTGGAGATTGAACCTAGGCGCTCTACCACTGAGCCACATCCCCAACCATTTTAATTTTGAGACAGAATGTTTCTGAGGCTGAATTTGAATTTCAGCCCCTGCCTCCCAGTAGCTGGGACTATAGGGATACTGCCACTGTGCTTAACTGAACTGTCTTTTAAATGCATTTTTCATTGGTGGTGAAATTGTGCTATACCCCCACCCCATCTTTAAAATTTTTTGTTGTGCAAGGCTCTTAAGTTTTTCTGGAACTTGGTTTTCTCACCTTAATCATCTCTAAAATGGAATTATGTTATAATCCTAAAGTTCTGTGGCTCTTCAAGAGTTTGAGAAATGTTGGAATTCTGGAGCTGTGTTGTAATTAGGACAGTGCTAGACTTTATGAAGGGCTTTGTTACAAATTTTATCCCTGAACACTCAGTTGAGTAAACCAAGGTCCAGAAGTTAGGTCAGTTTGCCCAGTATCATCTATGAATCATAGAGTTGAACTTGAATCTAAGTCTTCTAACTTGCCCTGCTCCCTTCCCCATACCTTTTTTTTTTGTTGTTCACAGAAGTCACCTATGAATTGGCTAAAATCTGACAGACTAATGTTAACATGTGGCAGTTTCTCACAGTATTTCATTTATGGGTTATTTTGGTTTTAGAACCCTAGGGTTAACATCTATGCTTTGATGTCAGGGATTAAAAACAGTTCACTAATAATGGTAATAAAACTTCCTCCCTAGGAGAGTTTCAGAAAGTCACATACTCCGACTAATCATTTGTTTATTTTCAAGTTCTTTTTTATTAAGTAGGCTTCAGGGTCTAACATGATTTATAATCCAGATGTGTAACACAGACAGCATTCTTAAGGAAATCACTTCTCAAATCTACTTCTGTTTAGAAACAAGAAATGAACATATCACTTGCCTTTCATCTGGATATCTCTCAGACTGATTACAAAGCCTGGATCAATATTCCTTTTTAGGTGTCATAATTCTTGGGCTCTTTCTACTGATGACTGGTTAAGTCTGATTTTGCAGTAGTTTTTGAGCTAACAAAATCCTTCCTTTATGCTGTAGTTTAGTGGTAAAGAAGTAGTAGGTTGCAGGTGACCATTTCATGATGTCTCTGTTGGGACATATTTGGGAGCACTAAGTGCAGCTGTACACTCACTCTGGAAGCTGGTGTGGACTTGATTCTTTCTTCCCTCCCTTCTTCTTTGGATTGGCCCAAGGCCTTGTACATGCTAACTAAGCCTTAAGTTTAGTGAGACTCAAAAAACTTTCCAAGTTTTATTACCTTGGAGCTGCATCCCCAGCTCCCTGGATTTTCTTTAATAGGTTCAAAAATGGTATTACGTGTAAAGCTATAGACTCTTTTCTGTTTGAGCAACATATCCATCTTCATCTTTTAGAACTTACTCTTAAAGGAATATCTTTTCAAAATAATGAGCAATGGGGGCCTTAGTACCCAGTGATTGCTGTGAGGGAGGTGTGATAAATCTGAAGTTGGTGTCACTTTCTTGAGAAATGAGAGGAGAAAAGAGTATTGTGAAGCAGTATTTGCTAGTGAAGCTGAAAGACTGTTACCAGTGTACAGAAGAGGACAAGAGCCCCAGAAAGGTAGGATGGCTGTTTTTTTTTTTGTTGTTGTTGTTGTTTTTAAATCAGGGGAGTGGATTTTGAATGGGGAGCACTTTGGATGAAGAAGGCTCTTAGGAGACATTGACATGATCTTGTGGAGAGTGAAAGAAGTTCTCTTTGTTTGCTGATGGGGTTGCCCTTCTAGGATAGGAATTGTCTTTGGGAGTGTCTGCAGGTATATCTGTAATCAAGGAGAATGCTCTGGTAAGAAGAGTCCCATAGACAAGAATATTGACTAAGCTCAAGGACAAGAAAAGTGTTGCAGAGTTATGGCACAGTCCTTGGACTTTAGCACAGGTTTTGCAACTA